AATTATAGCCTAGAGAGCGAATAAGTAAAATATAATTATTACCTTAATTATAAAAATAAAGCTCTTAGCCTTCTCTTAGGCGGCTAAGGAAAAGATCTTTATAAGTAGACTACTAAGCTCCCTCGGCATAAACCTTATAGATTTAATTACCCGGCGTAGATTAGCTATAATCTTAGCAAGGGTTATAATCTAATATAATAACTAATAGACTATATGCCTTATAAAGGCTAAGCTTATTTAACTATATATAAAGCTATATTATATAGATATTTATAACTATTAGCTAAGATAAGAAATTAAGGAAAGAAAAATAAAAATAAAGTATATCCCCTTAGGCGAGCTCGCTATTAATAGCCTAATAAAGGTTCTTTTATTAGATATATTTAGATAATTATATACCTAATTAGGCCTATAGGCTATCTCGCCGTAGCTAAGATAAAAAGTTATCTAAGAATAAATAAACTAGCTAAAAGGATATAAGCTATAAAAATAGCCCCCTAAGCATATATCTAAGTCTAACTTACTGAATATAAGTTAGACTTAGGTATATAGCTTATTTTTTATACTTTAATATAAAGGCATAAGTTTAATTCTTATTAAAAGGCTTTATTTTTACTTTATTATTAATTAAAGAAAATAAAAAAGTATTTAATAAGAAAATAAAAAGTATAAGGTATATTATAAATTTATTATAAAAAGAATATAAAGCTTATTTATATTATTAATAATAAAAAACCTTAAATATTAAAATTAATATATAATAAAGGAGTTATTCCTTAGAAAATATAAAGACCCTAGGCATAAGAGGAATATTATAGTTTCTTCCTTTTAGGATAAATTATTAGAGGGAGAGCTACTTAATAAGCTACTTAAGGAATTATTATTACTATTATCTCTATTACCTATACTATCTCTATTACCTTAGCTAGTTTATTACCGCTAAGTAAGATAGGCTCTAAGAGCTAGACCTAAGGTAAGCTATTTATAGGTATTATAAATAAGGGGCTTCTTAATATAAGAGATAAAATAATTAAGGGCCTAATTATTATAATAATCGCTAAGTAGCTTAATAAAATTAATATTAATGCCTAGAGTAATAATATTAGCGCTAACCTCCCTAGGAATATAAATATTCTTATACTAAGTAAGCTATAAGATAGCTTCTTTAAGCTTATAAGCTAGGGAGCTATTAGAAATATATAAAGGGGTAATAACTATTACTTAAGATTAAACCTTATTTAAAGATAGATTAATACTTACTTAAAAATATAAATTAAATAAAGAATTAAAATAAAGAGAGACTAAGGGATTATAGATTAATTATATAATAAGAAAGGTTATAATTTACCTCGAGGAGGCTAGCTCTTAAAGTATTATTTTATCCTTTAAGGTCTCTTAGGCTAGAGCCTAGCGGGTAAGCTTATTTAACCGCTTAAAGATAGAATTCTAAGCTAAATTATACTTAATTAAAGTAGCTATAGCTTAACTAATTTAATACTAAGATTAATTATTAATATTATATTAAATATAAAGGTCCTTAAGAGCTATTTAATATACCTAAGTAATACCTAAGAGCTTAAGAGAAATCTAATAGAATTAATTATAAAAAATAAAAATTAAGGAAAAGAGACTTATTATATTATATCCCTTATAATCTTAATTATAGAGAATATAAATCTTTAGCTTATTATTAATAATATATATAAGTATTAATTCTTAATATACCTAAATAATATAATATAAATAAAAAGCTTTATTAATAAAATAATTATTAAAGATATAATTAGGCTTATAAGGAAAATAAGCTAACTTAATAATATAAATAAATAAAAGAGATATAATAATAAGAATATCTATAAAAATAGAGAGAAAAGTTAATAAAAGGAATTAAGTCTAAGAAAAGAAAAGAATTCTTTAATTAGATTCTCTAGTAGGTCTTTAATAATCTAAGTAAATAATAAGAATTAAAGCTATTATAAAGTAAGGCAAATAAAGATATATTAAAGGAAATAAAGGCACTATAAATAGCGCCTTAAAAGGCATAAAAGGGATATAATAACCTCTTAGAGACTTAATAGATTAGAATAAAAGACTCTATATAAAGGAAGCTATTTATAGATAGCCTAGGTAGCGAGAGGTAATATTCTCTCGCTAAAGGGGCATATTAAGCGAGATCCTATATAATAGCTCTAAGGGTAGTTATATAAGACTTATAGCTAGTTAATCTCTGGCCACGTAGCTATGCTAATCCTAATCTAGAAGGCTATATCGCGGCCTAGAAAGGAAAGAGGGAATAGCCTTAGGGATAATAATAATAAGTAATTATAATAGATTAAAGGATAAGCCTATAATTAAATAGGTCTAGGCTAGAGCCTGCCAAGGGCCCCGACGAACGCGGTGATCATAGCCTAGCGATGCCCTTAGTTAGTCTCCTCGGTCCATATGATTTATTTCATCGTTATAGGTAGCAGCAATAGAAGGAATCTCAAATTCCTTTATAGCTTCCTCACTAAAAAAACGCTATATCGGCCATGCCCGGGCTTCTATTATATTTAGCCTCTTCCTCTTCTAGTTAACGTATTTATCGCCCTTAAATATAGAAGTCAGGAAAAGCATAAGGGCATTATCCTTCCACGCGATTTAGTTAACCTGCTAAGCCAAGGGATAAATTAATAAGAGAAATATAGCTAAATCTATTTGAATTCCTTGCCTTATAATCAACTATTAGGGCCACTCAAAGCTCGCCAAACTAAAAAAGGTTATGGCCGGCAGTATCATCGACTTTGAGCTATACGAAGGGCTTAAAGATACCATAGTTACGGCGGGCTATGCCTATGGCCCCGTGACCTAGCCGTCGAAGATATATAAAGAGATTCGCCGATGAGAAGAGGTTATCGATAAAGACGTAATATCTAGCTTTTGGTAGCTTATTGACTAGGGCAACGACCACGCTTTGAGTCGGATTAAGAGGCATATATAAGTCCTTTCGTCTCTGAATGCATAGTTAACGAGAGAACTGACTCTTCTTCCTTGGCTACCGGCGCGGCTTCTTAGGGAGACCAACAGGTCCATATCTCTTCTTCGGCTAGTGCCAAATCCACCATAGGAAGAAGCCCTTCTAGGCCACAACCCAGGTCTTAAAGCCAAGGGGTGTGGGTTTATTTAGGACCTTCGTTATCTCGTATGACCTCCCTGTGAAGCGGGTCATACACTCATCCACAGCGATATTCATGCCCGGGCTCCATAGCTTAAGAGACGCCTCTTATAGTTGCTCAGACCAGTCATCCACGGCCTTGAAGACCTTCGGAAGGCCTATATCGGTGAGGTTGAACGGGTTGAAGACTCGTAGGTGCCGTTAAAGAAGCTAGAACCTATCGAACGTCATATATCGAATAATCGAGTAATCAGGGCCTTAATGCCCCCGATGAGAAGTCTCCCAATAGGCGCGGAGCCTTGGTTCCTTATGAATTCCTATGTAAATCAGGATGGCAAGCCATACGTATACCTCGGCGACGGAGGTGTCATACCAGCCTCTGAGCCGGGCTGCCGGGCGTAACTGACGGTCTCGGAGCAGGCTTGCAACCCAGCTATTGGTATATTGGACCCATCTTTTAACTAAGGAATAAGGTAGGAAAAGCTGGAAGAGCTGTAGGGGCGTATGGGGCAGTGGCTTGACCTCAAAGTCGCGTGAAGGCATCTCCATTGGAAGGAAGTAAGCCCCGCAGGTTGTGGCCGGGCTGAAGACCGGCCGGCACGTGATATCGTTGGGCTGCTCGCGGCGGCTATTTTCCTCTGTGATATAGCTACCTGAATCAGAGGCGTTAAGTGCCTCGCCGGGAATTGATTGAGAAGTCATAGGTCTCTTCAAAATGATTTCTATGGTGTTTTGGCTGTAATTCCTTTCTGAGAGACCTTCCCGTACCCCGCCCGTACCCTCGTCATTACATGAGAAAAAGTGGGTCCGGTACGCGTTGGGAGTCTTCGCGCACTCAAAGAGATGCTGCCAATTCAATATGTTGTTCTTAAGAGAATCCCCTCTTTCCCTTTTGGGCCACGACGTGGCCTTCTTAATTAGGCCTAGTGTGACGACTATCCGAAGATCACCCGGCCTGACATTGAAGGCACGTGACCACCCTCAGAGCTATTGTACAGGGTCCAATCCAACATATACCTGCACCGGCCGCGGTGCAAGTAAGTAACGTGCCCTGGGCACCAGGGCTAGTGCAACTAAGATGTATTATGTAAGCTAGCGGCACAGAGCCAATCAGAGGTTAACTTAAAATCAGCCACTTAGGCACCTAGACTTAGCCACAGCTACGGGGCGTTGTAAGCTGCCTTTGAGAGCCGCTGCAAGCTATTGCAAGCCGCCTTTGAGAGCCGGTTGCCTCCCTCAGCGCAATAGGGGCTGCGAACTCACATAATATATCTTATTTGCACTGGCCCTGGTGCGCATGGCACGTGACCTATTTGCACCGGGCCCGGTGCAGGTATAACTTCCCGCGTGAAGGGCTCCGCTGAGTCATTTCCATAAACCCCGCCTCGGCTAGACAGGAGCCCGTAGCCCACGCTAAGCATGTCAAGCTATTAAGGTTTGCTGATTAGCTTCTGTCGCTTCTGGTTGGGTGTCGTCGGAAAACGCTCGAGTCAGTCCCGCGAGACCCCACGAGCTCTCAAGCGGGTCCCCCGCGAACCTTGGCGTCGCCAGGAGATCTTGCGCTAAGCCTACCGTAGGCAGAGAGAGCCCCTCCCCTCGTTTCCCCAGCTTTTGCCCCCTCAAATTGTTCCCAAACTTAGTTTATTTGACACTTGTTGGTCCCGTTCTGCATCTTCTCCATCGCGGTCGTACCATCCTACCATCGAAGCTTGGGCATGGCAGAATTGGCAGTCAGCGATGACAACAGCCAGACGAGTTGTCCTGCCCGTATTTCATTTCTTCCTGTCAATGAACCGGGATCTCCCCCCCGGTTGAGAAGACGTCGGGCAGAGATATCCTGCGAGAAATGTCGGAGACGCAAGTCGAGGTGTGAGGTTCCAGATGGCCAATCCAAGGCTTGTCTATGATGTCTAAGGGAAGGCGAAACCTGTGACTTCCGGCCTGTCAAATACAGGCGCAGAGGAACAGCCCAACCTCTGTCACCAGCCGCCAGAACGAACCTCGCCGCGCGTCGCGCGTCAACGTCGGCAGTCAACGATCAACCGGCCGGCTATGCGATGGAACCCGCCGGACCAGAGCACGCACCACGTGTAGAATCAGGGCCAAACCAGCAGCCATGGCTCGATGTTGTCGCAGCACAAGGCGAGACACCATACGAGCTTCGCTCCGACAATCAACAAGCTCCCACACAGGCGCTGCATCCCGCAGATCCTCATGACAGCCCGGTGACCTCAATGGATGGCGCGGCGAGGAGGTTGGACTCGAGGACAAGGATCATCTCGACCCAAGTCGATAATCCCGCCCATGCTCTCGACCTCCTCACGTTTGCTGCGAGCGAGGAGCAGCATTCTGCAGGGTTTCCACCTCCAGAGCAAGGTGGCGCAGCAGAGAACTTGGCGGGGAGCATCTCACAAGAAGACAACGCGCGACCGGACGGTCTTCTCGAGCACGATTTCCGATGGCATTATTTCAAGTTTGTTCAACAACGACTCATCGCGGTACACGAGGCTATCGAGTTTATCGATTTCTTCTTCTCTTGCTTATGGCCACTCAGGCCTGTGGTGCCGGCATACTATAACGACCGATCCAAGTACGTCCTGCTTGCGGTGGAGGAACCAGTGCTGCTAGAAGTAATGATCACACTGGCTTCACGATATTATGTCCTCAGCGGCAACTATGGTCAGATTAGGTCTGAACGGATACACTGGGGGGCATGGAGATCCCTTCAGAAATGCTTGCAGTCGGCAATGTGGGGTTCGACTAAGACGAGGTCGCTGGGGACAATCGCCTCCATGTTACTGCTGATCGACTGGCATACCAAGGCCATCAACAATCCGGGCGCCTTCTCTTCTGAAGATGACAGCTTCGTGTGTGATATGCCGCCAGAAATGCCGGAAAGTGACTCCCAAGCAAGTCCAACCAGCTTGAATAGCAAGCAGAGGCACGGAATGATAGCTCGTCTGGAGAACCTCGGTATCACGTTTTCTGCATACCGAAGCAACAAGATGTCTTGGTAGGTTCGACCTGTTCCCTAGCTACCTCTGGAATTGTCCCCTTGATGCACGTTAGGTTGACATAAGCAGGATGCTCCTTGCCAACGCCATCGCGCTGGCACGGGAAGGTTGCTACTTCGAGGTCGAGACTCGGGGCCTCTTGGATTCCGTTAATAACGATAAGACGGCCAACCGGGACTGGGCCCATGTCATATGCGTCTTCATCTACTTGGCCGATGAACACCTGGCACTCCGGCTAGATTTGGAGCCCTTACTGCCCGAGTCGTCAAGGAAGATTGTCGTTGACAGGCTCTCTAAGATGTTCACCCGTGCGCTGCTAGAGAAGGAACACTGGGAAAGCTACTTTGAACTAACAGAGGAGATGCGAAAGGCTCGAGAATATCTACACGAGCTCAAGCAGACGGCTTCGAGACCCTACAGCTATGACTTGGTGCCTGTCCTCGAGTATACGCAAAGGAGGTTGGAACGCTGGAAACGCCAGTTTGAAAGACTTGGTAAGGGCCGCGCTGTCCATGAGGCAGATTCCCGCGCTGACTAATGCAGATCAATCGTCTCTCCTGAGTGCATGTCTATCTATAGAGTTCGGATATGCCGTGATTTATAGTCTATCCCCCGTCGGATACATCACAGTCCCCGAGAACATCATGGCAACTTCGAACGTTTAGAGTCTTCGGCATGAGACGATATAAGCCGCTCGTAACCTATTGTCCTTGGTGTCTGGTGCACTGGACTCATCTGGTATGCTGCAGCACATTCCAGTGCGTTGCTGGGTTTTCACAATGGCTGCTTCGTTGCATTTGCTGAAGGTTAGTCTTGGGCTTCTCACACAGGGGCTTGCTGAAGGGCTGACTCAGAGCTCCACAGGAAACACTCCGTCACGAGCCCAATGTCATAAATCAAGACCCGGATATGCAGCTACTTCGGAGAGCCGTTGAAGCTCTGCGTCGCGGTGCTCCAGATGATGTCTATACTGCAGGTCGATACTCCCGATTTATTAGCATTCTGCTGGATGTAGTGCTGAGGCTATCCTCAAACAGAGCGGAATCTCAGGAAGAAGCCGCTAGTCTCGCGTAAGCCACGCCAAGGGCTGCTAGAATTTCCGACTTGATCGATGTCAACGCGGCTTTTGACTTGCCGTTGAATGATGTGACGTGGTGGAATGACGCATGGAGTATCTTTTAGCTTCTGTGGCTTGTTCTCGTGACCATGGCCCTGCGGCAGACGGCTCATAAGCTTTGTATGTGATAGCTTAGTTAGTTACCCAACGTACATAATATACGTGAACGCATGCATACATGTATATGGTGCGAAGTAAGTCGACTCTACGCGGGGGTCCGGGATTTCTGCCTTTGAAATCCCGCCGGAATTTCAATCTCGTGTGTTCCGCCGGGTTGCGGGGATCAGAATCAACCGTGCTTAGGTTACCCCGCTTGTCAAAGAGGGCGCTGGTCTCTCGGTCCTCGTCTTCACAATATAACAGATCTGCACTTCTCTACTCTACTCCTTGCATCTGATTAGCAACATATACTTAATAAGCATCGTGGCCATCTGAGTTCACCTATCTCGCTTTTTATTGTTTATTGGCACTATGGCATACCAAAGTCTACCGAAATATACGACGAGTACTACCGTCGTGGAGGGATACACTCGGATTAAGAATGTTTATATCAAACTCCGCGACGGGGTCGAACTATGTGCCGACATCTTCCTGCCGCTTTCGGCGTCTGAGCAAGGCAGTAAGGTCCCTGTAATCGTCAATGTAGGCCCGTATGGTAAGGATATACCTGTCCTTGAATTCGGCCTGCCCAAAACCGACATGTATGTCAACATGTATAAGCTCATTAAGCCGCTGGGACCCGATGCTTCCTTTGAGCTGTTGGATCCTATTCTTTGGGTAAGAACTGCTCGTCCCCTATTGGGCAAAGTGTGGGAGCTGAATGAGCTTTAGACAAAATAGTACGGGTATGCCCTTGTGAGAGTGGACAGCCGTGGCATTGGCGGCAGTCAGGGACGTCTTGATCCCTTCGGAATGGAATGTTCCATCCAGCTCAAGGCCGATGCCGAAGGCCAGGGTAAGCAGCAGACCTCCTACCTACCACCTTGCAGCACGCAGTACCAGAGGAGCTGCGCTGACACGGCTGTTCAGACCTGTACGATGTGATCGAGTGGGCTGGCGTATAGCCTTGGTGCTCCGGCAAGGTAGCGGTGAGCGGCATCAGTTACTATGGCATGACGGGATACTGGGCTGCCATGCAGCAGCCTCCACACCTAGCTGCCGTGGTCACCTACGAGTCCGTAGTCGACCTCTACTAGGCAGCTCGGAAAGGTGGGATTCTCGGTGCTAATTTCTAAGTTCACTGGTATAACAACACTGTTATCCCCCACTAATCTGGCAGTGGCATACTCTCCGCTGAGGAGCTCGCCGCGAACCGTACTGATTATCCTGGTCTTGTCGCAAAGCACGAGTACCCAGACGGCGACTCGTGGCGCATCCTCAAGGAACTCCGGAAACTCTCTGATATCGAGGTCCCCATCTACATTTCGGGCAACTGGACGGATAGCGAGGTCCACTTGCCCGGTAATATCCGCGCCTACAACGGAGTCTCCTCCGAGCATAAGTGGCTAGAGATGCACACGGGTAATCACCTGGCTTTCTACTACGACGCGGACCATATGGCACGTCAAAGAAGCTTTTTGGACTTCTTTGTGAAGGGAGACGAGAAATCCGGTATTCTCTCCATGCCACGCATTCGACTCATCACTCATCACGGTGACTAAACCCTCTACCGCGAAGAACAGGCATTTCCGCCTCCTGATGCCGAGGACGTCTCTCTTTACCTGACGCCCTCTCAAACACTCAGCCTCGCAGGACCGCCAACAGCTAGCAAGAAGAAATTCGAGTACCCAGGCCTTACAGGTACCTTGACATTCGAGCTCGAATCTCCGTTCACCGAGCCCTTCGAGATTCTCGGGACACCGTACGTTGAGCTCGAAGTAGCCACGGAAGCTGAGGACCAGGATATCTTCTTGACTCTACGCGCCCTCAATAACGTTGGCAAGCCGATGCTCCTTGAGGGAAACCACAGCGAGGTGAATGAGCATTTCGCCAAGGGGTACTGGCGACTCTCGCACCGCGACGAAGTCGACGCGGGTTTCAGAGATCAGAAGGATAAGGTGCCCAAGCAGCCGGTTGTTCCTAGGTCGCCGGTCGAGAAGGGTAAAGTGTATAGTGTTACCATCCCCTTCCTGCCAGCCGTATTCCTGTTCGATCGGGGCCAGAAGCTGTCGCTGGAGATTGGGGCACAGGACACACTTAGTACGATCCCGCCTATGCGACATGACGGGGGGGATAGGGAGCCGGGTAGATTTGGTGGGAAGAATATAATCTTTTCAAATGGACGGCTGGTCCTCCCGAGAGTCAGGAGGACTGTACCGTGAAGATAAGGGGCGTGAGAACCCCACCTTCAAGAATACACGGCAACCTGACTTGCTGGACTTGTTGGAATATGAATTAGCCCTTGCTCGTGGCCTGATTCAACCCGCTGTGCTTCCAGAATCGCCATTCCTGTAATGCCTATTCGTCATATATCGCCTGGAAAGACAATGCAATCCCCTGACTGTATCTCGCTATATCATCAAGACTGTTGTGTGGTAGGATATGTTTGTTGAGATTGCCGGGGTGTAAGCCACCTGTACATACAACTGCTTGTTCTCATCAAATTATGATATCCATCCCGCGATAGGGCGAACCAGCTACAAGATATGGTATGCTAATGATCGAGATAGAGGGCAAAACGTTATAATACGGATGAAACCTCGGATAAGAGTACCCCGTTGCCCCTGTTCTCTCTGCATGACCTTAAGTAGCGTCTTGAAGTTGCCTGCGCCGAAGTCGGAGAAGTTATGCTACTGAATGACCTCGATGAAAGCGGTGCGGGGGGGGTCCAGAATCTTGTCTTCAAGTTCGTGGGGCGACTGCTAGAGTTGGGATGATTTCTATTGGGTACCTTACAGAAAGAAGCAAAGAGAGCTATTCACAATCCAACAGTATCCCTCTGAGGTCCTTTGGGCATGGTAAGTGATCCGCCGTTTCACGATTCCATGACGCTTCTTGCAGTCGAGGAACCCAAAGTCAGTACATGGTGAATAACTTTCTTCTCCTCTCGACATTGGACAAAGCGTCAGAACTGCTCACCCTCAAGCTCCGGCCAGGTCTCGTGAGGTGAGGGTCGAAGCCGAGGATGCGATGGCGATGTTTCCATCACACTTCAATAATCTTCTCTTGACAAGAAACGACCGCGATGCCTCAGAAGCATACGGCTGGCCCTCTCCATCGATGGCTTCAACCCTTCTGAGATCCCCTCGTACTTGGCTTTCGGTCATGAATGCCATGATTGAGGTGGGAAGGCAAGACACGACGGACCTTCTCGCGAGAATGCGTTGGCTTTGGACCGCACCTCCGCCAGGCATCACTTGGGAATTCGTATCTCCCTGTCGTAGCATTATCTCTGCCCCTCGAAGCTATATTCAATCAACTTGAACCTACAAAAAGGGTGCAAACTGACTCCTGCCGTGAGGGCATAATATGATGCCCAACTTGCCATGGGCCACGGCCCGCTTGGCCTGAGGGGCATAGCGCGCGGGGGAGGCTCGCGTTGCTTGGGCCCCTGGACCTTTTAAGTTGATGCGGCAATTCGGCAAGTTCATAAGAGCTTTAATATCCGATGAGCAGATATTGATCGAGCACGAGGCTAGGTGGGCAATGGACGGGGATGCATGCGGCATTGCTGTACGGGGAAAAGCCGATCCCGGCATAATCCGCTCCTCCTCGGCTCCTTAGCTTCCCCTGTCGTCTCGACACATTGACCAACAAGTGAGGTGGATTCGAGTTCCCATCGCTCCCATTATATAGTGTAATGCCTCACGGGTCCCGATGAGGCAGCAACATCACATTGAACCCTCGCACACTGTTCTGCCACTATGGTGAGTTTGGCACCTGTTTTGAATCCATCAGAGAAATCGGCTAAGACGTTCCAGTCTCACATGACTAGCTCGGAGGTCCTAACGGCGACCGAGATTGCCAAGCACGACAACGCGTCGGACTTGTGGATCGTGGTGGCGGGCAAGGTATGGGACGTCACAGAGTTTGCCCCTAGTCACCCAGGGGGCTTTGGGAGTATGTTGAAGCTTGCTCCCCGAGATTGATCGACTGGCACTAAAAAGCATGCAAAGTTATTCTTAAGTACGCGGGCAAAGATGCCACAGATGCGTATTCCGACATCCACCCGCCGACTACCTTGACCGAAAATCTTGGTCAAGACAAGCTTAAGGGTATTGTCAACCGGAATACCATGGAAAAACTGGCCCTCCAGCCTCGCCCAGCGATCACAAAGGCCCCTCCTAACTCAATATCTAGCCACAAGCCTTCGCTAGACAACATGATCAGCACATTCGACTTTGAAGAGGTAGCGTCAAAGACCCTCGCCGCAAGGATATGGGCTTTTTATTCCTCGGCGGCCGCAGACGTCATCACCAAGCGCATGAACGCCGCCTGCTTTGACCAGATCATGCTGCGTCCTCGCATGCTGATCGACGTTACCAAAGTCAGCACTGAGCAAACAATACTAGGCTGCAGAACCGGCGTCCCTTTCTATATCTCACCGGCAGCGATGGCCAAGCTGGTGCACCCAGACGGCGAAATCGCTGTCGCTCGAGGATGTGGAGAAAACAATGTCATCCAGGCCATCTCTACGTCAGCGTCTTACCCTGTGGACGAGATCGTCAAGGCAGGGGGTTCGCACCAGCCCTTCTTCTTCCAGCTGTACGTGAATAAGGACCGTACCAAAAGCGAAGATCTACTCGCACGGGTTAAAGCCCTGGGTGTAAGGGCTATATTCGTCACTATCGATAGCCCTGTTCCGGGCAAGCGAGAGGCAGATGAGCGAGCCAAGGACCAAGACGATGTGCAAGTCCCTGATAGCTTCAAGGGAAAAGGCAATCAAAAGAGCGGTGGCTATGCCCGCTCGATTGGCGGCTATGTAGATGCCTCGCTTAATTGGGGGGATATCGCCTGGCTGCGAAAGCATTGGAGCGGCCCTATCGTTCTGAAAGGCGTCATAACGGCAATGGATGCCAAACTTGCCGTCGAGCATAAGCTAGAGGGCATTGTGCTTAGCAACCATGGCGGAAGAAACCTAGACACAAGTCCGGCGTCAATTCTCGTACTTCTCGAGCTGCAGAAAAGCTGTCCGGAGGTGTTTGATAAACTCGAGGTACTGATTGATGGAGGAATCCGTCGTGGAACCGATATTTTCAAGGCATTATGCCTTGGTGCAAAGGGGGTAGGCGTTGGCAGAGGATTCCTATATGCCCTCGACTATGGTCAGGAGGGCATTGAGAAGTATATTCAGAGTAAGTCCGGGATCTTCTGGTACACTATGGAGAACTGTACTGACGTTTCGGAATTAATAGTCCTCAAAGATGAGCTTGAGACGACTATGAGGCTATGCGGCATCACGCACCTCTCTCAAGTTCACCCGGGATTGGTTAATACGCTTGCTATTGATCACCTGGTGTCGGATTCGGATAATTATCCCTATGCAAGGTGGCGACCTAAGGCAAACTTGTAACGTGGTGCACCGCACCACCAAGCCAGCCACGCCTGGAATTGTCGAATACGAGGATGGCAAGCCAAAATAGATCGCGGATTTTAATATAGACAAGAACAGATTATTTGATTGGTTCGTCTCTATCTCTTGGCATCCTTCCTCCCTCGTCCTCGTTATATTTTACGAGATGAAGCTATGATACTATACCTGCCGTACCTGCAACAGGTCTGTAACACTACTCTGATTCTCGTGGCGCACTCTTGTGATAATCTGGGCAGAGGCATGTGTAATATCTCGGGCGCTGGATAGTTCATCTTGTTTGATAGCTGGAGTAGCCACATTTAATTAGCCTCTTTATTAGTTGAGGACGCGCTCGAATGTTCGTGGTCCCTTGATTACGCTCTCCTCCCTTATTCGCCTGTCTGCCTCACTCGATTGTCCGGTGCTTTGACTCATCTTTATCTATAATTAACCCATTCTTATCTTTTAACCTGAGTCCATTGAGCTTGAAGCTGTGGATCTATCAGTGAGTGGGTGGGTGAGCAGGCTTTCATCTACCAACTGTGACGCTTATATCTTAGACGCATGCTTGGAGAAGCTTCGTCGGCGTTTAGCTCACCAATATCGGACTAGCACATATGGACAAATGTCCTGATCACGGCAATTATGCTACTGTCCCTTGATTTACTATCCAAATGTCCCTGAGTAGTCAGAACGAGAGTTCGTGACGCTGAGGATTGGCAGACTACTGCTAAGACGTCTTTCCATTGTGCAGAAAGTCCTGGCCCATCGCAACGGCTCGGCTGTTGTTCTCTCCTAGCCACTGAGGCTCTAGGCTTTGTAACGCGTCTTTAATCTCGTATGACTTTCCTCCTGCTACGAGTAGGATCTTTCCATGGAAAGGCATGGCAGCTCCGTTGTGGGTTGCGCCGTCACTTCGACCCGCTGTAGCACAGATCAACATGGAGGTTGCCACATCCTCGGGTTCGTTCATCGGCAGTCCTAATTCTTCCTAAGCAGTCGCAATAGCTTTTGTGAGTATTGTTCCTGCCACAGCTTCAGCACTCAATCTCACGGTCATTTAAGTCATGCTACGCACGTGTTGTCCAGGGACAAATAATGTTTACTCGGACGTTATCGTTCTTCAGAGAGGTCATGCGGAGCCCTCGCATCACTCCAATGACGCCATGCTTGGTGGCGAGATAGGGCGTGAGGTCGGCCGTTTCCTTGAACCCTCCTATACTGCTGATAAGGATAAGGTCACCTCCACCGTGCTTCCTCAGGTAGTGCACCGCGATCCGACTGGTAAAGAGGACACCCCTAAGGTTAATATCCACCTTAGGGAGAGGGGGTTCCTCGTTGATATCCTCGATCACTGTGAGCGGATCGGGAAACCTCCCAACGGCAGCGTTTGCGATGGCAATATCAACACGGCCAAAGGACCGCTCTGCCTCTTGAAACAATGCAAGCTGATCTCCATATTTGGATACGTCGCACTGGATGAAACGTAGGTTCTCCCCCAGCAGTGAAACCAAGCTCTTGCCCTCTTCCGCGTTTAGATCGCCAACCACGACCTTTGCACCATGGCCTTTTCCCATAGCAGTAGGTTAGCAGAGCATTTGCCGGAGTAGAGCAACTGCTTAACGCACCGTGAAAGGCAAGGGCTGCGGAACGACCTATTCCACGGGCACCGCCTGTGATGACGACCACCTTGTCCTTGACTGACTTGAACAAGGATTGATTCGGTTCGATGAGGGACATGGTGATTTCGCAAGCCGGGTTTTCAGTTGGGAGCGTTCCAAGATGGAGTGGTCTCTAGTGATCGAGTAAATTAAAATACTTCGAACACCCGTTAAGTTGCCAAGGCAAGGGACTTAACGGCTGAATATCCAGCCCGAAGGGTAAATACCGTATACCCGCTATTAAACTCTTCTGGGGGAACCCCCTAGATCCCCTTTTCGTCTGCGG